CATAATGCCAAACCAATACCATTAAATGCTCTCAGAAGACAACTTGCACTCCTCAGTGTTACAGCTGGTTAGGGATAAAATTTAGGACAATTGTGTATCAAAATGGCTTCTCTCTCACTTAAAAATCAAGAACATTTTATTTTCCTCTCATAGAATCATTGAGTTGTGTGTAAGAATTGCCATGGCAATTGTCATATCAGATTTACTGTACATGTTTCTAGTAATAAAAGACCAAACGTCATCTAGGAAATTACTGAAAAACAATCAGTCATCATCATGACAAGTTTCTTTTCAAGAATCCCTTTCAGCTGATAGCTGAAATAAATGATACTTACAAAATATGTATTTACACTTTTTGGTAAAAGATTACACACTTTTATTTCACAAAAAAACAGTAATTTGTACAAGTTCCAAAAAGTTATAATAGTATTTACACCCCTGCATATAAACATTTGTAAAGGCATTTGCAAACTGATTCAGTCTATACTAAATAGGGATTACAATATCATCAAAGCTTCTACTAATAAGGGTAATAATGTTTTCATCATCGTAACACGATTCTTGTTTGTCACTGCAGTCACATTCATGACCTGTAGACACTGACGATATCGCCACGCCTGGAAGAGATGATACCGGGTAAAATATCGTCAATTCTAAGTATATTGCCTTTGTACGATTGAGTCATATCAACTGATATAACCACACTGCTTATGATGTGTGCCCAACTAAAAGATTTAGCTAGTATCTTCCCTGGAACAATTTCAAGGATAATAAAACTGCTACAGTTATAAAGCTGCTAAATTTTACTCATCGAAACCATATGAAAGCAAATTTGTTTTGTTTTTTAAATTCGAGAGGGGAAGATTTTCACAATATACACATGCATCTTGTAACTTTTGTTTACACTCATTTTCAATTTATATGTATCTTGCTTCAAAGAACTTGCTGACTTTTTAAATAGCAGCTAATCCACCCCCATTTGATTTCAAAGTGTGCGGCCTTAGCTGTTTCAAGGGGAAATTTCATATCTGGTCAGCTGAGCAAAATGTTGTTTACCATTTATCTATTTCAAAAAAGTCAAATGATTTATGAATGATTAGTGGTAACGTGATAGACAAAATTGAGATCGCATGAAACATCATGGACCAAAATAATGGATATGAATGAACACTGGCTGTAATGGTCTGACAAAATTCAATTCAACAAGAATGAATGAGTTAGGGGGGACTGTATTATTTTAATCTTCTGTTGATTTCCTGCAGAATGGACAGTGGTTCTTTTGAAGTACCAGTAGTTCATAATCATCAGTATGGAACATCTGAAATAGATGAAAATTTACCATATTATTGCAGATCCGGTTACACTGCCCATACTTTACAGGTATTACTATTTACCTATATCTGGACTATGCATTTATTTTGATTAAGGATAAATTAATATTAAATAAAACATTTGTTTTGTAACTGAATAAGTTGTTTTTATTACAGTTTTTAATTAATTCGTATCTTTATTATTTTGGTATGAAAAAATGATTTCTTCCCCAACTATTGACAAAAAAGTTAGGTTTTGAATGCACCAGCTATCTATCAAGATTCTGATGAAGGGAATACCATATTTGCTCTATTAGGAGCACATCTTCAATAGAAGCACACATAGTTTTGTAAACCAAAAATTGCATTCACTTTTATTGAAAGATCATTAAAATAAGACCAGTTTTGACATGTCTCAGTCATTTATGTAAGCATATGCGATACTAATAGAGTGAATATGGTAATGTTGAATACACCAACCAATGAGTTTGAATGTATCATAAAATACATTACACATTTATTATCCATCAAAGTTTCTGCACTGAAAACTGTTCTACAGAAATACTATCAGCAATATTCACGTAATAAACACAGAAAACAGTGATTGTAGATTAGTACATGTTTTTCATGCTTAAAACAACTGAAGAAACGATGGAGGAACAAAGAAAGACGTACCTGATTGCAAGAAGGACACAGCGTAACCGAGACATCAGGCATAACTGTTTTGAAGTATTGATATCGTAAAGGCGGTGGCCATTTTTTAACAATGACATGAGTACGATCCAAAGATTTAAGTACAGACCTATTGACAACTACTGGAACAAAGTCATTGCCACCTTGCTGTCAATTAAAATAAAGAATAAGAATATAAATTTACTTCATTGAATCATTCCAATAAATTTATTTACATTATGACAAACTGTCGCATTAATCTTGGTGTTTTTATAATGCAAACAGGTGTCTATTAACTAATAATAGTAAATCCCCTGATTCTGTACTATTCAGTGATTTAATACTAGTTTGTCAATTGGTCTTTAACAAAATTGTTACTTTTAGTTGTTTTTTTTACTTACTTTAATGTTATTTTAAATTTTATTATCCTTTTACTTTTCTATTTTACTTCACTATGTTCATCTTCTATAGAAAGAATTATGTCAATGAAGTTATCTTATCTTATTTAATCTTATCTTATAATAAACAGAAAAAGTTCATTTGTCAATATTCAAGTTCATTCATAAATATAAACTATAATGGTAAATACAGTAATCATTATATTACTATAGTTGTACAACTTGATTTTTGCTAAAACAGTATTTTTTATCGTTCTCTAGCAATTCACCTACCAGGTAGCCACCTAGACAGGAAATACCTGTAATCAGACGCTATCAATACATTTTGAAGTTTCTTCTTCATGACAAGAAATGTGTTTTGCTTCCATCATGTTACCACAGAAAAACCCTTCAATGATTTAATCAAATATAATTCTAACTTTTCTCCTAGCAATGCAGTCAGTTCCAGAGAATAATGATTTATTCATGGTAGGATTGAACTGTGAAATAACCTTTCAATATCTGAGTCAATATGGGTAAGGGTGTGATAAATTATTTCTATACCATGACAGTAGCTTCCTTGTGTTGAGTAGATGTGGACAGAGAATAAAGATGAATTTCATCCACACCCAATTACTACAGGTAAGCAATAAGGTGCAATCAAGACTGACTGAGGACTCACCTCAAAACTCATCATTCTAGAATTGAAAGGATCCTCATCTTGGTCATTATCCATCTCATCATCCAGCCTCATTGACTGCACAGCACCCATATCACTCTGCTTCCATTTATCTGTGTTGCGTTTTATAGGTTCAGCGTCCAACAATGGGATGGCTTCCTCGTCACTGATTCCATCATCGAGCACAAACTCAACTAATGGCAATACCTCTGTAGTAGTGAATTAACAGATTACGAGACATCAGAAATAGTAACACACTAGCAAGCAGTTGGTGATGTCTGTCTTAGTTTCACATTAGTACCTTAGTATGTCAAAGGTCAAACGTCTGGATACTGTAAACTGCTTTAATTTTCGAGACACACAAATTTTTGTGAATTGCATGAGTGAAATTATTTTACCGCCAGAAGTTTGTTTGGGGTCCTACGACACAGAGTGTCAGGAAGTTTAATAGGGAGTTTTGTCTTCACCAATGCGATATAATCCTTAAATCGTGAAAATTACACAGTTGACATTACTCTATGTTTTAAAGTAGCACATGATTACATGTTTATGTAACCCATTGTTAGTTTAATTAAAGTGTGTTATTTTGACAGAACTTGAAAATCAGTTCCTGATGTATTGGAGTTATGCTTATAGAAAACAAACAATAGTCCAGTAACTGAAAGTAATAAGCTGTTATTTCTTATCGATTTGGTAATTCAGTAAACTACTGGGATATTATTTCAACACAAAATGAACAGTAATAGAACAGGAGTATAATAGCAATGCCAAGGAACATGACATGGAATATGCAGAAGATGTGCAGAGAATGATATTTAGGAGTGAGATCATGAAGAATAAAAAAAAAAAAAAAAAAAACAAGTCATTGAAAGTGACACAATCCCCGTTAAATTTTTGAAAGTTCTCTTTGTGCTCGTCATATTAAAGCAGAGGGGTTGTCGCGAGCTTGTCCTTGAAACTTGAGTTCCAAGTGGCGTATACAACAGATTGTTTATTTACATCAAAACACATATAGTAGTAATATGGCCAAAAATAAAAACAGCCGTTATTCGGCCATCTTTGATCTGATTATGAAACACACTGATATGTATGATGTATGTGCCAAATACGAATGAAAATGATACATAAATTGTGGAAATATAGTAGTAAGGCCAAAAAGTCAGATGGCTGTCAATCGGCCATCCTTGACCAGATTTTGAAACAAATTGTCATGGACATGCATCCTAACATGTATAAAGTACATGTATGTGCCAAATTTGAATGAAAACTGACAGAGCACGTCCAAGATACCGCATAAAAAACAAAACAAGATGCCTGTCAGTCTTTGATCCAATTGCGAAATAAATCGTCATGGACATGTATCCTAACATGTATAATCTATGTACAAAGTTTGAATGACAACTGACAAAGCATGTCCAAAATACAACATTTTCAAAAAACAAGATGGCATCTTTGATCCAATTGTGAAATAAATCGTCATGGACATGTATCCTAACATGTATAATCTATGTACCAAGTTT